AGCATTAAATTCATACACACAACAAATACATGCACCGATAGGTTATACATGCATAAAAAAAGAAGACCCCAAAATACTTGATAACGCTCTATCTGTTTTGGAATGAAGGGTAGCTTAAAGATAACGAGGCAAATGAAAGGGAGAGGGGTGCGGGAATTTTACCTCAGTTCGATAGGCTCCAACTCCTAAATTTAACTTCTTTGGGCTCGGATCCTTGTTGTAAGCAACAGTGACCTGTTCCAGTCCGAAGCACAAAAAAATACGAAGACCAAAACAGCAGTCAGAAACCAAAATGAATGCAGTCCAAAATGCTAACCAATACAAACCACTTCACTAAATTTTACCAAATTACTAGTGCTAGTATATGAGGTGAAACAGGCATCATAGTCTCATTCGTTCAGGTATAAAAGTTGATCAATAACGAATCAATCTCATAGGGATTTCCCTACTATACCAGAATAGTTAACGAGCGCGAAAATTGAAGATCACAAGCAAAAATCAAATTTAGCCCGGTGGTACTAGAACCAGAGCTCATTTCTAACCAACCCGTTTTCATATTCTATCTCCCGCGCGGACCTCCCGTCTATAAATTTAAAAATTAACAATAATAAAAATAATCGTAAATGCCAATGATGATAACAATAATCAGATCAGATATCAAATGCAGTTAAATACACGTAACAACATCATAGACAACAGAAACACACAGAAACGTGATGTGTAGTATCGAAAGAGTACCCCTAAAATGGGATCTTCAGGAGCACGAACAACGTTAGCAAAAACGGAATCACCATGACCAGAGGCCATTTGTTATCAGCGAATAGTGACTCTTAGTTCAGTGGGATATTTCTGACTTTCTTCTGGTCACAGAAGGTTACCGATGGGATCACCAACAAAACAGATGTACACTGCCTTTATTAAACGGGTTGAAAATTTTTTTGAATGGTCTCCGAAGAAACAATGGGCCGTAAAAAGGTGGGAAGGACGACGATGAAACTGTGGGTTGTTTGTTCCCTTTAAGTTTAACCAAAATTTAAAAAACGGTGGATGGTAATGGCGCTGTTGGATTCGTTGTAAGGTTGATGTCCTGGAGTGGGCTTCAAGAAAGCTTGTTTACGTTTTCTTTACTTCCTCGTGGGAGTAGCATTTATTTCCAGAACGCAGTCGTATCGTCTCCACAAAAATATTTTTGAGGAAAAAAAAGGAAAAACTATTTCACTAGACTTTGATTTATTATGCAGAGATCTAGTGACTCATAATTTGTCACATCATTTCATGGATTCAAGTAGTAGAAATGTGGCAAAATTTGAATCGTTAGATCTATCAAATCATGTCTACCCAATTTTTTACTTTAATTGTTTATGGATACTTTTTTTTTATACATTTCAATGTATAATTTTATTTTTTTTTTAACATTAGCAGCATTGTCGCATAATATGAATTTCAAATTTCAAATTTAAATCATGACCATATGACATTCATTCAAAGCTACTAGTATTAAAAAAAAAAAAAATTACTGTCAGTACATAAAAAATTAATCCATTATTCATAATTTATACCATTGCAATTGTGCACGACAAATTCAAGGCCATGTATACAAAAATGCATCATCATTGATTAGCAAGGAAGCCTGGTTTACTTGGGCAAAATTTCATAAGTGACCCCATTCAGCCTTGCAATGGTTTTAATTATTGTTAGGCCGTCCTCGAGTTATGTACACGATTCCAATTAGTCCCCTAGTGGGAACAATTAAGATTGAAAGAAAATGATACTACCCCAATCAAAAAGTAATAAACCGCAACTAGAAGAAAATGATGTCTATTTGGATAAAATGTGACAAAAATAAAAATTGGTGGAACAGACTCTGTCCGACAGAGTGAGAAAAATAACATATGGTAAATCGGGCAATTCAAATAATTTGATCACGAATAAGTCTCATTTCCTTGGATTTTGTTCAAATTTTATTTGAAAAAATAACTTTTTGTGGTGTAATGTATGTAAAATTATATTTAAAAAAAAAGTGTAAAAAAAAGGTGACTGAAAAGCTTATTTAGGATGCAACAGGAAGAAAAATTTTTTTTTCCAAAATCTTTGACCGCCCAAACAATTAACCAAACTAACTTGATATTCAGTAAAATCAACCAAAATAGTTGAACTCAATCGGTCAATCTAAGTGGGTGCATAGTGCATTCGTTTGATCCGGTGATGATTCAGTTCCTTCGAAATATCTCTGAAATTCTTTAGGTCCACTCCCTCCTCCTAGTATAGAATAGATTAGAATATATATTACGGTTGTCGTTTCTAAAAAAAAAAAAAAAAAAAAATCAGTCAATCTGTCCCTCCTAAAGGCCAAATCGAAACAGCCATGGCCAAATCTCTCTCCTCTTTTCCCTCAGTTGGCCCCACATTTGCCTGGAAGCCAACACTGACATTGATTGTAGAGTTTAACTGCACCCTGGCTGCCCCGTTAAAAAGTGGCAATTCCCAAAAACCCTTTTAGCGACGGGTTAAGACTCGTCATCATCAATCATGCAATGACAAGGCAGACAAAGCAGTATAATCTTTCGAGCAAGAACCACCTGTCCATGACTTAAAGAAATCACTAATTACTACTACAATATTACAAACGGGGAGCTCTATGTTGCATGTAGCAGAGAAAACCATTGGCAAGAATTATGCTAGTGTTCTTTTACCCCGCCGAATGAACAATGATCGAAGATCTTTATTTTGAGCTAATTTCCAGCTTAGCATGCTACGTTTTAGCTTCGGAGACTCCTGCAGCAAGCCCACAAACAGCACTCATCGTTAAAAGAAGATTTGTTCTTGAGCAGACAATTGTACAGTTAAATCTCAACCACCAAGTATGGAACGAGATGATGCACCTGAAAATGAAAATTGGGATGCTGATATTTTACTGGTAACCCGTCGCGTGCTGGCAATACTGCAAAACCACATGCCCGTTTCGACGTGAAGATTCAAGGATAAGATTGCGCTTTTTTCCATTAGCATTTCAGGTTTAGTCAACTTAGCATCTTAAAATTTGCTCAGGACACATAAATTTGATTACCTGGAATTGAAAAGCTCTTTCTTTTCTCGGAGCTCTCATCAGATGTCGAGTTCTCAACTAGAGAGGGCTTGCAGTTGTGCGTGTACAAGAAAAGTGGCACCTCCCCCGTCTGAAATTCTGCAGTCCTAGCAGCTATCTGCCTGGATGGGGCAGAAGAGGTCGATATCATTGTAAGAAATTACGCAATGAGGTTACAGATAAACAAAAGACGTGAGAATGTTACCTCGAGACAGTAGTGTTAGTCCTCTGAAGACCTGGACTTGCTAGTTAAAATTAAAAGAACAGAACAGGACTGTCAGGAAAGAAATCATTATCCCATGGGAAGAGAAATGGACGAATTTGAAGCAAGAAATGAACGGAAGAAATTTCATGTCTGAAATGGTTACGCGGTAATATATAGCGACAGTAATATCTGGGAAAGTCGGCATTCCAACAGTGTGATCTGAGAGCAAGCAGGTGAGAGTACTTTTCCCATGTCCCGATTCTCTGTTCATCAAAAGAATGACATGCTTCTAGTAAAGACGTTTGCCTGAGGTTTCTCTCACCAATGCCACAGGAGTGGGGAAGGAAACGGAATATTGAGGGGTAAAAGAACAGAAAAGGAAAGGTGGAAAACTGCTAATATTAGTGCAAATCATCAGTACTAACCTCTTTCAAGCTGTCAATTCGAAGCTCGGCCTCAGAAACAGAGTTGGTATTTAAAAGCCGACATTCAAGATTAGCTGAGACGCTTCCGAGATGATCAACCACTGTAACTACAGCCCTACTTATGTACTCCTTTGTGTTCTCCACCACACTGCAGAAGATTATGTAGTAGAACAGTCGTTAACAGACGCATCCTTTTCTTCCCTTTTATTCAATTTCTGATTTGTGCTAAAAGTTTAGATTGAAATGTTTAAGCTTTGCACGAGCTATGAACCTTGGTTGTTTACAAGCAACGTCATTGTTTATCTTATTGACAGGTCACATTCAAGAAAGTTGCCAAATTTTTTTAAAATATTTTAAAAATTGCCCACATAATGGTGTTTCAGGAGCTCTCAGAATTGCCGGTGTATGCCGTTTATGTCTGCAAGTTAGAGGACTCACGTTCTCTTCTCCTTAGCATTCGAGAAACTCGTCTCGCAATAATTTGCAGCACGGCGAAGATGAGAGCACAAGTCCTTGAGTTCCTGCAAACAGGGCAAGATAGGAGTATTCAGATGAACCATGAAAAACGAGTAGAACGTTACACGCACCCGGAATTCGAAAGATTTCCATACGCACAAGCAGAGACTTTTCGAACTGCGTCCCTTCATCAGTTTCAGCTTCTTGGTTTTCGGCAGCTAATGATTTCGAGTCCTGCTGATTCATTCTCTTTGCAACAAACAAATTGAGGTGCACAAGTAAGAGGAGCGAAAGAAGAAGATGATATTCGGAACTTCTTTGTTTCTACTCGGTTTTGCAGATTGGAGACTGGTAGGTTTCTGTGATCTTGTGATACATTCTGTCGAGCACTAAACAGATGAAAACCAAAATCTAATTAAGAGAGATTCTTGTGCATTCATGGGCTGTGTCACTTTCAATAAGGACAAATAATAGGCAAGCCCCGTGATACTTTGTTCGCTCCTTTTCTTTCTGTCTAAATTCTAAAAGAGCGCATCCACTGATGACAACTACACAGAAAATTCAACTTCCGCCCTCTTCACTTTTCAGGTGACCATACGATACGGACCATGAGAAGAAAGTGAGTGGCAAAGTCACGGTCCAACATTAATTTTCTGCAAATGTTTGGGTAGGAAAGTAACAATGGAAAATTCAGAATAGCCCGTGGTGCTTCAATTGTATGAGATGTGATGCAATACCAAGTAACTGCAAGCTTCCAAAATGATTAGCTCGTCGTGTTTTTTGCCTTCAGAACTACTAAAATATGGCTCCTGAAAGGTAACTAACTATGTAGCAAGAAGTAGCAGCAGTTTTATGTCATATAAACTTCAACAGTTAAATCCCGCAGAAAAAATACAACTCTCACACACTAACTTCCAACTGTCAGGAAGACTTTGCATGGAGATAAGTTACAAAGCACATACTGAAATCAGCAGCGCTGCAACTAACTTCTTCCCTCCCAGTCAACATAATGTCCACCTTAACATCTACATAACAAAAGGATTATCTGCCTCTCTATGCATGTTTTTAACAGGATTACAAAAAATTCATCATTTATGCTCTTACATAGACGTATGATCTACCACCATGATGCCAAATTTTCAGTTTTCCACCCGGGCCCTTCATAGTACCTTTTGAGTTACTGAACTCAAATTTGAAAATCAATTATGCAGCCACCACAATTCTCTGCAGCCTCTAGTTGTGGAGTGATTGAGCGATAATCTGCTAACAAAGATGACGACAGAATATTTTTAAGATTCTGGTATGTTTTTTGAGGTGCCTGTTTACTGCCATCATGACTGCTATATCCCGTCGGCTCCAGCTTAATCTGCCTTCTCTTTTGACTGCCCACGCTTCTTTGGTTTCCCTTGCCATGAGGAAGGTGCAACTCTGGTTCTCAGAAGCAGAATGAATACATTTCAGTCAAAGCTCGGAGTCTGTGGTAAGAAGGAGTTTATGCAAGGGGACAAAAGGAGTAATAGAACAAAAACTAATGAAAAAAAAAAACCTTCCTTAACATCTTAAAACAAGCACATTGTGGTATGGAAAGATATTTCTTCATAATCTGCAGGGCAGTTACTCTACCACTGAGCAACAAAATTTTGTTGACGTGATATACAGATGTGCAGTGTGCAGCCACTGGTTTCCATAAACATTGGTAACATGCATTATGCCAGGGTAAGCCTAGCACCAAACAATTATGAGAGGATTCAACGAAGTATAAGCATTCCTGAAACTGCAACCAGAGTGAAAGTCCAGCTCATCTACAGAAACTCTACCAGTACAAGTGCTCAATTTCTTTGAGGCCTTATGCCTATATTCAGTGTTGTAAGTCTCTCTAACATCCAAGCATGGTGCATCTGTGTTGTTATCCTGTAGAACTTTTACAAGTAATTTGACATGACTGCGATTAATCTCGCATTTGGACAAGAATTTGCATTGCCAGTTTCCAAGGTGCCATACTCAGTGAAGCTCTTTGGCATCTATAAAGTCGTTATACTCTTAAATACTAGAGATGTTGGAAAAGTTACCAATGTTCTAAAGATCTCCATCTTAACTTTAGCTTTAAGTAATTTCCTCTTTGGTTCATATGAAAGTGTTCTGTTATTTCACTTGCCAAACAGACTATTTATGTAACAGCTCATGAAAAGGTAAGTCATCATAATTCAAAGTACAAGAATGAAAAAGAAGGCATCACGTTCTCGTTTGCAATTTGTGATGGTTGTTCTATCAGACTAGCTATTACCTTTATCAACATTAGAAGAATCTAGGCCTCTTTTCAGCGGGTGAGATCTTGTAACACATAACCATGTTCCCTCACCATGAGTTTCAATTTCTGAAACAACTGGAATATGCCAGTGGCCTTTCTCTGACTCCTGTTGACACGGCAACAAATTGGTATCCATTGTACTGCAGTCATACTATTAATGTACAATTTGTCTTTACTAATGTTTTGCTTCAACAACATTCTTCTCCATAAGAGGATTTTGCACCAAAAAGATGATTCGCATAGCTTTTGGCATCTTTGCAAAAGGAAAAAATCGAGGAATCAAGGAAACCTAACCTGAATTACAACAGAACATGGCGGCGGCATGTGAAATACTGGACCAGTTTCGGAAAAGCTGAAGTGTACCTTCAATTAACAATACAATTCCTTAGTAGGAAAAGAACAAATTGCATAATAATACTAGACATTGTAAAGAAACCTACAAGAAGAAATCAATGATGCTCTGGCCCTTGAAAAGAAAAAAAATGAGCTTATCTTGTTTTAGACATATTAAGTTCATGATGGCAACAGCATTAACAAGAAGAAATGCTAAAGCAATGGTCAACTCACAGAGTGAATCGGCAAACTAACCTGGGAAATGCAGTTCAGTTTTGTAATATTCTTTTAGGTCTTAATCCAATGAATAAGGAATGCTAATTAATTGATCCATCAGTCAACTTGTCTAGAGTGTAAATTCAATGTTTTTTCTTGCAAACTCCTCAAAGATCAACAATGACCACAGTTTACCAATTCCTTCTCGGACAGACAAGTTTGGCCTAAGAACTTCATTGGAGTTCACCAGAAATATGTCACCAATGTAGAGATGGTTTGTTGGGACATACACACAGCATAGTTCTTCCTCTCCAGAATAATTCTGGTTCAAGAAAATCAGGCCTCAAATGAAATTTTCTCAAATAATGCCCAGACAATTTACAACAAACACTCAGTCGTTAATGTGTTTTTACAAAGCACATACAAACATTATGCATGTAAAAAAGTACTCAACAACTTTCCCATTTGTATACATAACCTGAACAGTCATTTAGTTGCCAGTCTGACAAGAAAACAAGCGTTGATATTTTAGTGGAGGAGGCGGTTCTGGTTTTATCCAACTCAGTTCATGAAGCTTCAGGTGAAACTAGGATGTCAAACTAAGGGAGGGGGCAACAAATGGGTAGAGTAGATTCTCAAAGCGCTCAGCTTCATAGCAGATGATGTGGCTATCTAATTGCAAAGTTGATGCATAACTCCTTAGTTGTGGCAGTAACAAGGTTGAATCTTGCTTGTCAGTTTACTGTTTAGTCAATTTATAAATTATGCATCAACATACATATAGAATAGAATACGGGACACTTCCTGAGCCACAACCAAAAACACACACAAACAAAGCATGCATTGTATGAAGCCAGGTTGCTAATCAGTAGCAAACAGATGAAATCAGAAGCATGAGACAGCATTATCAACAGCAGTGGAATAAAACAATAGTAGTAACGGCAGGAAATCAACAAGAGAAAACAAGCTCACAACTAGCTACGAAAGCATCAAAGAAAGTCAGCAACAGCAAAAACTTTCATAGTTAAAAAAGAGTTTTTCTGGTGCAGATGATCATAGTTGGTAAACCATGGATCTCCAACACAAAGTGAAAATGCACAGTCAAGGAATCCAAGTCTCTTCATACCTGGAGAATGACAGATGAAGTGATGAAGCCAAACGCATATTCACCTATGCGTGGATGCCGTATGATGGCCACTTCCTTGAATGCCTGGGTGTTTTGATCTGTAAAAGTGTGAACTTAGTCATGATCTAATTCTTGTCAAAGTCGAGAGGAGAGGAAGCATAAGATTAATAACAACACCTGGAGATATGGCAGCACTAATTTGCTTGCAAGCACTGTAAATATGACGAACAAAGGGCATGCGCTTGATGAACCATTCTCCAAGGCTCAAAACAGATGCCCCCAACCATGAGGACATGAATACTCCGACCAAGAAAATGAAAGTGATGGATGTAACAAATCCAAGGCCTAATGAAAAATAGGAGCATGCATAAGCATCAGAGATCCAATAACTATATCAATATTCTCTAGACTGCCATTACCAAAAATTGATCTCAGAAGAAGTAAAAAACTGAAGATTACTGTAGGAAAGGACTGAAATTCAATAGCTGCGTTGTTCATAGCCAATCCTAGTTAATTAAATTTTAAGAATATCAGTAAAACTATAACATAATCTTGCCAAGATGCTTACCGAAAATATCAATTCCAAGCTGTGCATAGATGGGCGAGAAAAATCCATCAACGAAATGGATAAACCACCACGTGATATAGAACGTAATAGCTATTGGCAAAAGAATGACACTGTAAAAAAGACACAGTGAGCAACAACTACACATCAAAAAGCAGAGTTGAACCCCAAATGCAGGAATGTGGAGAACTGTAACAAATGAAGATACCAAACTCAGTAGTAAAGACAATCACAGATTTCTTTGTTCGTGTACTTCAGCAAATTCATAACTGCTGCTATTTTCACATGTAAATATCCAAGATCAACATGCTTTCCATAACAGACAATAAAAGTAAGTGGTGTCACCTTTTGTTTCTTTTGTTTATGTCCTGTAATGAAAAATCCAAACATTCCACCCACCCATGCCTCCCCCCCCCCCAACAAAAAAAACCACCCCTAAAAAAAAGCTCCCCTGCATCATACCAAAGAACGCAAGTTAAGACCATGAACAACAAAAGAAAAACAATTAGGGGCCGCTTGGTCTGAGAGTTTTGGCATGGGGAATGACGATAATTCCAATACTTAGTGCTTGGTACACTGTAATGAGCATTGAAATATTGGAATCATGTCCAAAAATTTGGGGATTCATGATTCCTGACTAAATTGGGAGGAATCACTCAAAATCCTCAATTCATTTCCAACAGTGAATAAATAAAAGATAAAATATTTTGATAAAATACTTCCTTTCTCCCTCTCCTAGACTCCCACCATCGAGCCTCCCCTTCGTCCCTTGGCTTCAACACTTCTCTCTCTCCCATGGCATCTGACAACTCCTCCCTCTTCCCTTGTTTCTGACCACTTTTCCCTCCTCCTCGGCATCTGACAACACCCCCTCCTACTTTGTTTCCAATTTTCTTCCTTTCCATGGCATCTGACAAATCCCTCCTTTTTTCCCACTGCCCGTGACTTTCCCATTGCCCCAGTAGACCCTTTCCTCTCCTCCCTTGCCATCAAATCGTCCTCCTATCACAATTGATCTCTTATGTTCTCTTCTCTTTGTGAAGGGCTCCAACTTGATTGCATTGTATGGTGATTCTAACAGTTTTCAGTAGAGGAAGAAATTTGCCGTTTTCTTTTGGAAATTTTTTTTGCAAATGTCTGAAAGTTCTAGTTGCAATTTTTGAGAAAAGGGAAAAATGACAAACATCCAGATCTTTTATTGATTAGTCATGAGTTTTTGTTGGTAATTGTTAAACAAAGAACCAAAAAAGATTTGGATTGGTAGTTATTCAGTGGTGGTCTGATGGTGAGCATGATTATCAACCCAGGAAAGAGAACAATAATTAAAAAAATGAAAAATTAATTTTGATACCATTCCAACTATGTTTATACCAAGCACCAGTCTGTAGAATGATACCAGGGGTTCAAACCGATACTGATTTTTTGTGTATTATTCCATCTCCAATTCCAATTCCAGAGCATGAAACAAGCACCCCCTTAGTATATAAGACTCCTGGATTTCCCGCTTTGGCATACCAGGCAGATAGAGGAAGAGCATATCTGCTAATTTGGTTAACCAGATATACCATTTTCCTTAAGCAACTAAATGTGCACAGAAAATGGGCATGAAACATATGAATCAAAATTTGGTTGAGGGAAACTCAAACTATGTATAAATATTTGTAGAGAGCAAAATCACACTTCACGGGCAATATCAGATGTGAGACTAGCAGATTGAAGAGGAAAACAGAATTAGTACCATCCTGTCATGAATTTCTTGGAAGCCCAGCTCCTAATGACTTTGTAGAAGGTCTGGAGTGAGTAAAGACACCAAGAATTTGTCAGACAAGAACTAAGACACAATGAATAAAAATAATAGACTAGAAAAGTTAATGCCGACAGTTAACGCCTAGTACGACAGCAGGGGAAGCATTTCCCTGATGGTTACACGCAAAAATGCAATCATATTTATGAGCTACTGCAGAATTCGGAAGCACCATGAAGAATACAAATAAACTCCTCTTATCCCAACGAATTATATTGACTAATTTGGACTGATATCAATTCAATTATACTAGGAAAGCATGAACCGAATGCCGAAAAGAAATATTGCAAAATCAAACAAACCAGCTACTTTCAGCATTTTCTTTTCTCCTTGCCATCTCTCATGAAACAAAAACCACCCGCAACCCAACAATTTGAAATCATTTCTATGCAGAACATACCTCAAAGTAAGTAAATCAAATGCCATTTCGAAATCCCAACTTGAAACCCATCATTAAAGGCGGGCCTAACTTTAGTCTATGGAATTCAACGAGTATTATATCGATTACTCAATGCAGACAAAGGTTCCAGAGAGCATCAAATCATAAATTAAAGATCACCTAAACTAGAACGAACCACATGGAATAGCTAAAAAGTACATATACGGGCAACCCATCAATGGATCTCAAAGATATCAAAGCAGTATCCACCAATGAAAAGAAAAGGGTTCGTCCATAACAAAAGCATTTTTCCGAAAACGAAATAGAAAATCATACCTCCCGGCCAGAGTGATGATGAGAGGAGGAAGCAGAAGAAGAGGGCTTGGAAGAGGAGTCATCGTCAGCATCAACAGAATCAGCGACGGGAATTAGAAGCTCTCGATCTCTTTCTCGACTAGTGCTCCCCATAACCCCAGCTATCCCGGACTTGTTGTCATCACCCATATTACTTGCCCCGCACAAGAAGTGCCCCAGTTCAACTCAAACACCACCTTTCACCCAACACCTCCAAGCCCACCTCAGTCCAAGCACTCCACGACCCAGATGACTCCGTCAAATCCCCAAACACAGTCCAAAAAGTTCCTGCTTTACTCAAAAGAAAGAAAGAAAGAAAAAAAGAGGAAGTGCAGAAGAAGTAAGATAGCTAGCACCAGGAATATTTTATTTTAAGGCTTTTTTGTTTTTTTGGGCGGGGGTATTACTAACTACTACTGTGGTTTGTTTTTACTTATTACTCCCTCCGTCCCACTTTGATAATCCCGTTTTCTTTTTTCGTCTGTCCCAAATTATAATTCACTTTCCAATTGAAGAATGTAATTGTATTTTAATTTTTCTAAAATGCCCTTATTCAATGTAAGTTGTTGTTACTATAAACCTATCTCATTTAATGAGAGTTGATTCTTTTTTTACCATTAATTCAAGTTCCCATAAAGTTGTACTCTATTTAATGTGAGGATATTTTAGAAAAATAGCAATTTAAATTTACTTTTCCAACAAAGTTAACTACATTTTGTTAAACTGTTTGAAAAAAGAAATGGTACTGTCAAAGTGGGACGGAGGAGTATTTGTTTTGTGGAATAAAGGTTGGGTTTTGGGGAAATGTTAGGTAGTGGAACATGTGAGGACTTCAAGAAAAATAAACACAGACCTTTTGGCCCTTGGGTGATTAAGATTAACAATAATAATGTACTATGTAAAACCGGAAAAATTCAACGCGGAGGAAGGCTGGATTGGGACTGGGATCTTGGTCCTGACCAGTGACCTCACGGTCATGGGGGAGTGGCATAATGGTTGCTGATGCCTGATAGACAGGGGAGGGGAGGTGGGCTTCCATAATTTTTGTAAGCAGTATGCAAGGGAGTGGGTTTTGGTGAGTTGTGGCGGATCATTGAATGTCAGCTTTCGCTGTGGTTTTTGGGGCTCTTAGGCATTTTCATCCGGACAAATCATCCTATGTCAATCCGCCGTATATTAGCACTTACAAAAAACAAAGAATTATCATCCTACTTTGCATCTGCGGGCGGATGGTAATGTAAATACAGGAATGACATAGACGGACCTTAAGAATCAATTATCATCCTCAAAATATGCTCCTGCGGTGGTTCCGGTTTGTCTGTTTGGGAAGAATAAGATCTATTGGTAGAGCTTTAGCTAGGTAAAAAGTAAAGCCCAAAATTTAACTTGAGCTTTGCAGGAATTAATGACATTTTGCCAGTTTAAAATCCATAGGTTTTGTTTGAATTTGCAGCCATTGCTGACTATCAATAGATAGACGTGGAAACTGAAGTATGTATGGCGCTAATGGAAGTCGCAGCCTTGTTTTGTGATTGTGAGCTGGATATTGTCAATCTTCCCTTGTGGAGTACTAGTCAATTTCTTTCCTCTTTTTCATTTTTTATTTTTTTTGGACATAGCCAAACTCTTGTTAGCCACAGTGACGATGATAGTGAAGCATCAAAAGGCTATACTACTCTTAGAGGTTTAGAACTGATTGAACATGGCCCATGGGAGATGTTATCGGCCTGTTCTTCAAATACGAATTGGCCCAATTTATAACACCTCTTACAGTGCGAAACGCTTTATCAAGCTTGGGCCTGGTGGTTCGTAATAAATAATAATAATAAAAAAAGGTTCTAGTGGAGGAGATTTGACCGCCAAAGACAGAACCGTTTGCGCCTTCTCCTCTTCATAATCTTTTGAGCGTTGCACTTGAGTAACTGGAAGTTGGAACTTGTAGCCTAGTAACCTACTACTGCCCTGCTACCTACCGCTTGGCTTGGTAACACTCTCTGATCCTGCTCCGAAAAAGATGTCGGAGCGTGACGCTCACATTCCGGCGGAAGTAATCTCCTACTTGCTCACCTTCCTACCGGTGAAGTCACTTCTAAGGTTCAAGTGCGTATCAAAACCATGGCTGGCTTTGATAGACAGCCCAGACTTCATAAAAAACCACATCTCCCGCTCCCTCAAAACTAACCGTAATCTCACCATCATCCTCGGTTACGCCTCATCAATCTACTCCGCCGACTTCGATTCTTTTCAGGACAACGTGGCCTACCCTACCAAACTTACCCCTCCATTATCGCCGTCCATCGACGCGCCTATTCTAGTGCTGGGTTCTTGTAACGGGCTGCTGTTTCTGTCCACCACCTTAAAAGACAGCATCATATGGAACCCATCCACCAGAAAGCACCAGAAACTACCTCCAACCTCCATTGAATACCCATGTGGCAGGTTTGTATGGCATTCTGAAACTGGGTTTGGGTATGACTCTGTTCATGATGATTATAAGGTCGTAAGAGTCACCCAATTTCACCTTGGTTGGGAGGATGACTTTTTCCAGAATGAAGTTAAGGTCTATAGTTTGAACTCCAATCAGTGGAGAAAGATTCAAGATTGTCCGTACTTTATTCGGTATCTAAAACTTGGCGGGACTTTTGCGGGCGATGCATTGCACTGGATTGCGGGTAACAGTCCGAGATTGGGTACCGCCAATCAAGTCGCTGCTTTTGATATAAGAAGTGAGGAGTGGCATCTGCTGCCGCTTCCTAAAACCTTGGCTGGGGATTTTTTCATGAATTTGGTTGTTTTGGGAGAATGCATTGGTTTGTTTTGCAATTACTATCGCGATCACGTCGATTTCTGGGTTATGAAAGAATACGGGGTGAGGGAATCTTGGATCAAAATATGCTCTGTTGTTCAGCCTACTCATATTCAGTCCTTTGAGCAAGTGAAGCCAATAGGTTACTCAAACGATGGGAAGCAAGTCCTTTTGGAGCAAAACTCTAGCTGCCTCGTGTGGTTTGATTTGCAGGAAAAGTCTGTGAAGAGTGTTAGGATTCATGGTGGGCCCAAATATTTTAATACAGATGTTTGTCTGGCAAGCCTTGTCAAACTCCCTTACAGTGATGTTCAACAAGTCCACCAGAAGAAGAAAACCCAAGATAGGGGGAACCCGAAAGCTGGTCCGAAGAGGTAAACCTTTAGAGCCTTCTGTCCTCCTACTCGTGATCTTGGCTCATTTCTATGGACTGCGGCAGTCGTGATTATAGGAGTATTTTGTTTCTGTACGAATAATTCTTTTTTAGGTGATATCGTGCATTCTTGCATTTCTGCTTCATGCATGTACTATCGATACAGACAAGGGATTCCTGGATCCGGGGTTACTTGTTCTGTATTAGAGTAGTACTGTAAGATTATAGAAGTTTTCTTTCCTGGAGTGATAAGTAGCAGCTTACATGTTTTGATTCCATTTCTCTTTCTTTTCTTGATAAAGTTTGTATCTTTTTGTTTTTTGTTCTCTGACAGAGATGACTTTCTGTCAAGCGGGTTCAAATTGGTGCTTTAAGCTGATTGAGAAGGGGGTCAAACTACGACTTTTGTGGTTTGTCAACGTGTTTCAGTGTTGGGATATTCTTATGGTTTTTGCAACTTCTATTCACTTTAAATGCTTGCAATTTGGACAAAACAGAATGCAAGATTGCAAGAACGATAATTAATCTTGTTTAGTCTGTGCTAGTTAGAATCATGTTTGCCTTACAGTTCCTCAATCTGTCCCTCCTAAACAAGGTCGGTTCTTTCCTCCTATATGCTGTGTAAACTCCAATTTGGAGAACATGACAACAGCACGGTATCTCGATTGTTTTCTGACTTCATTGTCATTGGCAAGTGATCTCTTGTCATTATTGTGTCTTTTCATGGTTTGGTTTTTTCATCCTGTTGGTTTCCTGCTGAACCATCCGAAAAAGTATCACGGTGTTATATGGATGGCTGGATCTTCCTTTAAATTTGTCTGGTGGATTGGCAAGATCCAAATTTGTGTGCTTAGTGCTTACAATTCCTTGAATAGTATAGGCTTAAAAAGTACCAATTCCTTTGTACAATTCTCTGTGTTCAATTTTCTTTCTTAAATTATTTTTTGGAGTCATCTGCTGGGAAATATTTTAGATTCTAGGGCAACTTATGGTGGAATCTAGCTTATGATACTTAAGCGGAAGCAATTTGAGTTTTTTTTGAGGATAATAATACCTAAGTAATATCTCCATTTTAGCTTATGATACTTAAGCAGGTCATATCATCGCATTGTCTTCTATGTTTAAAACATACTTCTGCCTTGAGCGGTGGCGTATGATCAGTATTAGCTGATGATACAGTTTCTTGGTCATGGAAAAGGAGACTGTTTTCAAAAGCAGGTTTTGAGTTTCAAGTTGTTGCTGTTCTTTCGAGAAGCCTCTTACAGTGGAACTTAGTTGACCTCGAACGAATAAAGTTTGGCACTATCTACTTCGCAAATTGTTGTTGTCACTTATAAGGTGCAGAAACCCTCCTGTTAAAGTTCCCTAATCTCTAAAGCAAATTGTGTGCATCACTAGGATAAGTGCTCTGCTACATTTTTAACCTTGCCTAGCATATAAATCTAAATTAGTTGTATCGTTAGCAAATGCCCGATGACAGAAACCCTTAAAAGAAACCAAATTTCTTTGTTCTCTTTTTGACTTGCTTTGTCAAGGGTGTTTATGGCTATCATCTTTAATCATGGCCTTATACCAACTGTCTTTGGCGCATTTCTGATGACAGCCTTTGCAGATGGCAGGACTGACGGTTCATTGGTGCCTGTGATTATTCCCAACCAATGTGAGGAGAAGAGGTGGAGATGGGGAATGTTGCTCGATGTTTTTGTCCTGAAAGTCTTGCTCCAACTCAAAAGAAAGGGGTTTTAGGTGGAGGGGGGGGGGGGGCAATATTTGCCGGTATGAACTCTTTATCGTGGTTTTAGGTGGTTGGGGTTTTGTATATAAACTTGCTTTCGCTACGATTATGATTGTGTTTATAATATGGCAGTAGTTTCTTTCTTAGAAATAATTGGTGTAGAAGCGTAACGGATCTTCTGTCCCGTATCCTGTGTCACTCTCTGTCCCATTTTTTATTATATTGCTATTTCTCTTTCATAAATATCATGTTTTAGTTCTTTATTTTATTTTCTTAAGATCCAATAACTATTAATTCAGTATAAAAAATGAGATTTTTTATGAATTTTTTGTTGTATTTTTTAATTTTCTATTAAATATTGTTTTTTTGAAGCTGTTGTATTTATTTTTTATTGAATTAATAGTTATTGGATTTTAAGGAAA